CTAAAAATTTAAGCTGAACCATATCAATGGCCTTCTCAGCATCCAATGAAATAGTTATCACAAAATCTAATTTATCTTTGGACACCAAATATGTTCATTAATAATCTTACATTATCCAAGCCTGATGCTCTTTCTTAAGACTGCATAACATAAACTATTTAAGTTAATATTGCAGACTGATATCTTCAGTGCAAAATCACTGTAACAATTTTAGCATCAACATTTAACTAAGAACCCTTTGTAGGATCAGTATTACATGGCTTCATGCAGGTGTCTTTGTAAACCTCCCTACTTTGCCATTCTGAAGGTAAATATTCAGTATACAGGACACACTTTACAGGGAAAAAAGAGTTACACAGCAATAACACCATATGATAAGAAAGTAAATTAACTGGGAAGGGTTGGAACTTTTGCTAGGCCATCTTGAAAAAAGAAATCAAGACAATAAAAGATAAACAAATGTTCTTTTGAATAACTTTCAGGTAAAAAAAAATATTTTTCTTCACATTATGACCAAAGAGAAAAAGAAAAAGCATAACTTCACATGTATAATCAGACAGCCAGGAATTACCTAGAGCCCTGTCCAGTAAATTTTGTATGATAGTATCTCCATAGTAATTTCCAATTGCTTTTTATGAACAGTATTTCCACTCCATGGTCAGTCACAATAGAAGGTGTGAGTTGCAGAGAAATTATTGTAGGTGACCTGATCTAAAGCATTCTCAGAACCACTAACAGTTTGAACCGAAGTAAATAACAGTGATGAAACAGTACCAGTGTTACAAGTTATTTTCAAAGCAGGTTAATAACTACACACGCTGAATGAAATGTCTCGGGATTAAAGCTTAGCAACAGGAAAGGATAGCATAATGGAGTGCCAGTGTCTAAGAAGCAGTGGAAAAACAAGTGTCTGAGATGGAATTAGCTGAGGGCAATTCTCTATCAAGGGCCAGCTCCACTTATTTATTTAAATGTAACATGAATTCCCATTCAGGGGAGAAATCTTGAGAAGCGTACAGTGAAACAGACTTCAAATGGCCGACAGTTGTAGTACCAATGACTCACAAAAATCTTTTTTTTTTTTTTTTGCACATGAAATCTCACTGGCTAACTGGCAAATCAGCTACTCAACTTACCTAAATGTAAATAATAAATAAACAATTATATATATATAATCTGAAAAAAGTTCATAAGGATTAAAAGAATTAAGAAAGAACCTTGTGATAGCAACATCCAGTCTTGGTATGCCCTCCTAAGACAAATGAGGATAGTTTTATTCTTATTTTGCTTTGTAAAAAACATTGGGGTTTAAATGAAGTTGTTATTAAACCTTAGTGACATTCACAATTCAGGGAGGGAATAGTTTTTGATACTATGTTTCTTGGATGTATGGTAAGAAGCATTTTATTGGATCTGTAGGTAGAAGGAAAGGTTTATAAAAGATATAAATGGCTTCTAACAATATAACTGTTTGTTATCTCACCAGCTGATCATCTGTGGTACAGTAAACATATAAAGAAGCTGAAAGCAGTTCCCAAGAGATCTGTTTCTTTTAGTATAAAATATTAAAATATATGCCAAGTTGACTTTTCCAATAAAATATAGACAGACTTTGATTTACAATACAGTTTAAAGAGAAGGTAGCAGCAATTTCATTGTCATTTGATGATTCCTCCAAATGGATTTTTTATGTCATAAAAAATTCCAAGAAGACTCAATATTTTCATGTTGCAAGAGAATTACCTATGTCTAAGATAAGAATTTTGCATCATGGAGAATGGTTTTTATTTGAAATGATATAAATATATAGAATTTGTGAAATAGTGTCATTGTTCTTGAATGCCAAAATCACTTGAGCGTAAGATGATATGATTACTCCTTTGAAGCATCCTGGAACTTGTGTCTATTTTTCCATAAAAGCGGTGCTTGATTCATTGCCAGGGATAAAATTCATTGTTCAATATTTCATTTTTTTAATTCCTTAAAAACAGGTGTAGAACATAAAACATTTTTGAGACACATATTTAAATATGTTCTCATCCACATCTAATTATTTGCTGGGATCTGAATAGCAATAAAAAAAGTAGAAAACAGATGTTTGGAAATGGTTCAACATCTTTAAGTGATTACTGCTCAATCCATGGGTGACTCATGAATAACTTTTAGAAATGACTTATTATAAATCTAGAAATGTCTGATACAAGAGATGATCTCAGTCCCAGTAGAAAAATGAAATCTAAAAATTACATTCTAATTAAAAAGGCATAAAGTCAAGAGCTTAAATTGACTATAAACTATATTTGATAAATTACTAATTCAAATAGAACAATATCTTGATTATTGACTGTACACTCAAGATATATGACAAATATACAGTATGGCACACCTGTATACTTCTTATTCATCCCCATTGTGATAGCTGTCTGAGATTAATAGTAATCTAAGAATCGCAAACAGAGGATTATTTCTGATCAACTGCTGTTTGAAGTTTGTCCTTACTGATAAATATTGATCTGTTACAATTATATCCTATCTTGTGCACAGCACTCAAGGCATTTATAGTGTTCTCTCTCCCCCACCCTCCCCTTCCCCAAGTCTATAAGATCAATTGTGCTTACAGAGAATGACTGGTACCACCTAAACTTCTGCAGCTGAGGGCAGATTAGTATCTGGTTCTTCCCTGTTCTGGTTTAACATCCTAACCACTACCCTATACTGGGTCCTTAGATAGGTGAGATGGGGCAATAATAAGGACTGGAGGGGAAGAGGGACCTGGGAGTAAAGGCAGAATCACCTAAAGAAGTTTGCAGATACATCAGGGACTCTTTGAGGAAAAAAATATTAGTCAATGGACCATCATTTCCCTATGCATGTCCTAGATTTTAGTTGGCAATCTTTGAATAATGTGCTGGGCAACTCTTCTCCTTTCCTTTCTTCCTTCCTAGATCAGCTTCAGGCCATTTAGGGAAACTTGGGAATAAAGGAGGGGTTGGGAATAGCTGTTTCCCAAGGAATGTAGACAAATTAAGATTTCTGTTATTCAGTCTTAGACTATCCATCACTACCACAGACAGACAGAGAAGCTCTTTTAAACAGAAGTGGGCTGCACATACTGTAACAACCAGTTTGCCGAAAATGTGAGCGCATGCGTGCATCCCCTTCATCAAGATCTTCATCAAGAGATTATTTTTAGTTATAGTTAAATGCAATAATAATAATAATTATTGACATAGTGAAGGATAAAAGACTGTTATGATTTTGTATGATACATAAAACATGCAAATTTTGAATCCAAAATTTATCTTCTGACCGACAGTGGAAGATTGAAAAATGTATTAAAAACTGAGCAAAGTAGATTACTCATGGGATATTCTACATTATGAATCATAAAGGGAACATTAAAAATGCCCACTATAATTTGTTACTCCAGAAAATTCTACAAGCTCAAGTTCCATATATTATCTAGTAACACGTGCCCCTGAAGTTCTTAAATAACCATTCCAATTATTTCTGATAATCTGCTAGAATAGGGGTTAGGATTCAGTAACTAGAAGGAATTCCCTGCTCTGCCTTATAGAAATTTTATGTAAAGTCTTGGAACTCTCATAAACTCATAAATAAAAGATAAAACCTGTCCACTGCTATGCAAATATTGTTGAAGTGTGATTCTACATCCAGTCAGCCTTATAAGGTTTCTGTTTCCTTGATTGCCCTTTTGACCCACTGTTCTTCTTACTGTTTGCTTTTCTAACCTCCATAAATTGTACCTATAACCAGAACTGATACTAGCAGAATGAAAATCCAGCTCATTTGATTTTTGTTTGCTTCCTTATAATTTCTTTCTACATGCAGAAAGCTCATTTTAGTCTATATTTCTAGTAATAAATATAAAGCACTGAAAGCATCAGCTTTTATTTGAATATCTTATCAGAAGCAATATTATAAACTCAACTAAGTGATAATCCCAAAGTAACAAGACGTGCGAAGTGGAAAACCAATGAGTCTTTACAATGAGCCATAGACTGGAGATTTTCACTTTTGAGGGCTATTGGGCACATTTGGAAATTTTGAGTACATATTGTGGGCACTCACACAAATTGTCCTTAAAACATTTTCTTATTCATACTACATCAGCCATGGGAGGTATTCCCAGTGTTGTCAGCTCCAGTAATTTCCCTTTCTGCATGATCTAAGCTAACCTTCAGTCTATTCAAGGCAGGTGGATCTATTTTCAAAGCATTGGACATTGTCAAAATTAAGGATGAGGCTGGAGGCTGCCAACTTGCTTTATAGCATGCCAACTTCCCGTCTGCCTGGCAAGTGCCATCTATTAACACTTTGCAGTATCAGTTTGGAAATTTAACACAGAAAGAGAGCAACAGGCACAATTATACAGGAGATAAAAATTATACCACAGCCTAAAACTATCAGATATAAAGTTGCAAAAATCAGGGTTTTCTTTTTCTTCTTCTTCCTTTTACCATTTCAGATTTTTTTTTGGGGGGGGGGGGGGTGGAATCAGGGAGATCACTACAGATCAACAAAAGCTTTTCTACATATTTGACTGCCCTTCAGATCACAGCTTATAGCTACCAAAGCTATACCAAAGCTATACAAAATATTTGTATGAAATAATATTTATATTTGTATAAAATAATTTTGTATATACATGTTTATATTTATATAAAAGAATATCCACTTTCCCCCTTAACATATTCGGATAATATATACAAGCTGAGGTTATATTTATATTTATATAATATATATTTATATTTATATATATATATTATATATATTTATATAAGCGGATCTACAAGGAAGGACAGGGCTCCAGGGAAGAAGCTGAAACCCTAACTAGGCATGTTGAACTAGTTCCGCCCGCTCGTGTTTGATATCCCCATCCCCATTGGAAAGCTTGACCATGGAGATGTGGGGGGGGAGAGAGAGAGAGAGAGTGGCTTCCGCTAGGAAACGTCTGTTGCGTTTTGCCACTTCGCTTCCGCAACCCGGAAGTAGTTCCTCTTGGGTCTCTGACACGTCGCTTCCCCGAGAGCGGGATAAAGCGGGGAGGAAGAAGGGGTCGCTCCCGACGGCGCGAGGAGGGCAGGTGAGGGGGAGTCGTTGCCTCGCCGGGAAAGGTGGCTTCCGAGGACGGGGAGCTTCGGGAGAGGGGAGTTTGTCAAGAGAGCTGACGCTCCTTCAGAGAAACGTATATCAGGCGGAGAGAGAGAGCATCTTCCTTCGCTTCTTTTCGCCTTTGTGTTTTGTTTTTTTTCCTGGCTGCAAGGACGGGATTTCGGAGTGCGTGTCTGAAATGCCCTAATATTGCTAGTGGTCTCTCGAGACCCAACGTTGTTTTTTTTCCCCTGTTCTCCGGATCCCGTGTTTCTCATCATCACCGGGTCCTTTGACGTCCCGAAGCTCTAATAGCAATACCACTTAGACTTATATACCGCTTTATAGTGCTTTACAGCCCTCTCTAAATGGTTTTAGAGAGTCAATATATTGCCCCCAACAATCTGGGTCCTCATTTTACCCACCTTGGAAGAAAGGATGGAAGGCTGAGTCAACCTTGAGCCTGGTGGGATTCGAACTGCCAAATTGCGTGGCACCAACACTTAACAGATGATAGAATACATTGAAAAATATATAGATCTTAATATAATAATGTAGGTTACGTTGGAGTTGGTACAAGTGGTCCTCCACTTACCACAGTTCGTTGAATGACCATCCAAACTTAAAACATCACTGGAAAAAAGTGACTTATGAACATATTCCACACTTCAACAACCGTTACAGCATCCCCCTAGAAATATGATCAAAATTCAGGTGCTTGGCAACAAACTCCTATTTATGACCTTTGCAGTGTCCCAGGGTCATTTGATCCCCTTTTGTGACTTTCTGACAAGCAAAGTCAGTGGGGAATCCAGATTCATTAACAACCGTGTTACTAATTTTACAAGTGTAGTGATTCCACTTAACAACTTTGGCAAAAAAGGTAGTAAAATGGGGGAAAACTAACTTAAATGTCTCACTTAGCAACCAAAATTTTGGGCTCAGTTGTGGTAAGTTGAGAACTACTTGTACTTTTCTTAGGCAATTTGAGGAAAATCAGATGCTATATTATAAAATGTTGTGGTCCTTTTTCTCTTTTTAGCTAAAACTGGATGCACAGCAGTGCAAGTATCTTAAGTAATTTAGTGTTTGACTGAACACATTTTTTCCAAAATATTGTGTAATTTACTCTTGGTGTTTGATAGATGAAGATATTCCTAGAAAGGCCATGCTTTGAGTGATTGTTTTTAAAAATAGTAACAGAAATATTTATTTTACAGATAGCAATGTCTGGATTTGATAATTTAAATACAGATTTCTATCAGACAAGTTACAGTATTGATGATCAAGCACAACAATATGGAGGAGATGCTGGAGGAGGAGCAGCATATAGCAAGTAATTTGACTTTTTTAATTGTTTCAAATAGCCAATATTTTATTGTCTGATATTTTTATTTGGCTGGAATGTTCGATTTTATTTAATTTCTGACAATCATGCCACTTTTATATCTAAAGGGTTTTATTTATTTAGATCACATTTCTCAAAATAACTTCAATCTACTGGAAACAAGAAACTCCTAAGATAAATCCATAATGCAGATCAGAAGAATTTCAGAAAATGGCTGAATGTAAAAATTTAGTCAGACAGCAGCATTCACTGATGTTCAACCAAGATTACTTATAACCTGTTGGACTTGGTTAGGCTAATACTAGTCGGATGTTATGTTAATACATATTGAATTATTCTTTTATACAGCAAGTATGAACTGCTACAGAACTTCTTAATATGTGGCACACTTACCAAATAGTGTACCTATCATTAGTTTATTGATTCAAATATTTGAATCTGAAGTTGCATGGGTTAATCATTCTTCAGTATAAAATTTGTCTTTAAACATACATCATTGGTTATTTGCAAGAAAGTTTTCTGAAAATACTGACATTGAAAACTCCTCTTCCTTAAGTTTGGCAATGTCCCTATATGTCACAATAGATACATGGTGACCTATATGTCATAAAACCTGAAGTATATGCTAGTATCAGTTATTTTATATGGCAGTAGATGGGAAAGCAAAGTAATCATTATCTTGGAAGAAGGACTATATTATAATATTTGAGTTTTACTTGGTAATAATTTGACAAAGATGTTGGGTAAGTTGGAAAGTTATAACAAATTTAAAGTGAGAAATTGTATTTTTTCATATTAGAAAGTAAGGTAAAATAAATGCATGTAATTTTAATCAGAATTATCCTGTAAATAATTTTGATATGTTGCGATCATTGATGTTTTCTTTATGTAAATAATGTTTATATAAATATATTCCATTAATTTTCTTGTGGTGAAGAGGGCGGCAAACAAATTTAATAAAAAGGTTTCTTCAGGAACTATGTAGAATATTTACAGTTTGTGTCAATGTGATAATCAGTGTACAATGATGACTTTTTTTATGGAATAGGTACTTTGGGGCTTAGCTAATATTGTAGTTCCTTAAACTTGCATCTGTGACAAAGAAAGATTCTGTTTTCATATGATAAACATTTAAGTTCTCTTTTCTGCAGGCAGTACAGTGGCTATGAATATTCTCAACAAGGTGGATATGTCCCTCCAGAGATGATGCAACCTCAGCAGCCATACACTGGTCAAATTCTTCATCCAGCACCAGCATACCCCGCATCTTCATCACAATCTTTCTATGGAAGCAATTTTGAGGATGAACCTCCGTTACTAGAAGGTTTGATTTTTATTCCTTGCAGAATTTCCATGTCAGCCAAAATACATGAGTACAAAGGAGTAATCATAGCTGATGATGAAGTTTGTGTGCATGTATGTATGTTAATGTAAAGAGCAATTTTTAATATTTAATTTTGCTTCATTCTTGGCATTTAATTTCACTTCATTTCTTTAGCTAGCATGATCCTTTAAGAGAACTAAATAAAGCAACAAAAAAACTCCATAAGAAATTGAGATAGGGTGACTTTTTACAAATTAAGATGATTAATGCAGCTAGTAATATACTTGGTCTCTTACATTTGGTGATCTAAGAGGATCTCCAATTTAATACAGAAATGTGGATCCACTTCAATTATCCAAGGCTCCTGCAAAGCCCTGAAGATCTCTCTTGTTTCAGAAGGAATGGGGCAGAGTGGGTTAGGAGCATTTTTTCTGATACACTTTTTATGTTTGTGTAATTGGTTTAGTAGCGTTTCCTGATCTGGGTGGTTGATCATTTTCTGTTGTAAATTATTGTTATTTGAATGTTCTGCATTTTATAATCCACGTGGATGCAACTATAATTGAGAAGGACTCTTAAATTTGATTAATCCATTAAATCTGTGTTCTTAATTTGATCTACAGAACTAGGAATAAATTTTGACCATATCTGGCAGAAGACTCTAACAGTACTGCATCCATTAAAAGCTGCAGATGGCAACATTATGAATGAAACTGATCTGGCAGGACCTATGGTCTTCTGCCTAGCCTTTGGAGCCACTTTATTGTTGGTAAGATTTCATTACTATAGATATAGTCCTGTCAGTTTGAAAGTTACAAATTTAAAGCAAACAAAAATCAGGACTCAGTCATTTAAATATCAGTAATTTATAATGATACACAGGGATGAATATAATTTCTATTGAAGAATGTGAATTACAGTCTTATGGTCATTATTTGGAGCCTTGTTCCTGATTCACAAAGTGAGAAAGACAAGAACTGTTGCTGGATATTCCCATTTACTACACTCAGACTAATTTAAAATAGGGTCCCCAGTCTGTAGCCCGGTGATATATAAATTCTCATAAAAATATATATTTTTCAAAATGCTGTAGGAAATTACAGTTTCCTCTTCCCTTCCCTCATCATTCCTTATCACCCATCCCCTCCCACTTGTGACTGTATGATTGTAACTTTGTTGCTTGTATGATTTATATTGACTGTTTCCTAGTATGATTTGATTGCTTATTGTACCCTATGACTATCATTAAATGTTATACCTTATGATACTTGATGAATGTATCTTTTCTTTTATGTATAGTGAAAGTATCTGCACCAAGACAAATTCCTTGTGTGCCCAACCACACTTGGCCAATAAAGAATTCTTTTCTATTCCTTCTTTTTTAAGTGATTCAGTGTTTTTATATAGACTTAGGCATTAATGATACATCACTGGGATTACTTTTATGAACAATGCTCCTTAAAAATACTTAAGTGGTGCTTCATCTGTTGCTTTAAAAAGCTAGCTTGTAGGGATGCATAGCTATTCAAAGACGAGAGGAAGCTTTGGAGCAGATGGGGCATACTTACTGCATCTATCGGCACTTAATTAAGGCACACCTCATTAAAAAAGCATTCAAGAGACGGCAACAGGGTTTACTAACTTTTTTGTACTTTATTGTGGTTCTCTATTATTTTCCTGAAATCATGGTGGCCACTGTGAGCAAACACAGGAAATGGCACAGTGTTATTAAGGAGGTGCTGACAAATTCAGCAAGCACACCCAGGCACCTGCCAAAATACCTCTTCTACTCCGGATCCAAATAGCTGTACTGGTTCATTAGATATATATTTGTATTGCTGGTATTTCTATCTAAACTTGATTGAATTATATAAAGCAGTGGATTGGTGACATTAATTTTATGTGAGAAACCTATTTTTTAACTAATGTAAAAAAGTTTGAAACATGAATGTGCAATAATATGAAGATAATCTTATTTCTAAGGTTTCAAAAATCTTCATTGTTACTGAAAAAGTATCTGGTACTCACTTAATTTTATTTTACATGCTTCGTTTGTCTCTGCAAAATCTCTTCCTAAAATATATCCAAAATGTTAATATATTTTTCCCTCTCTCTTTTTTTTTAGGCTGGAAAAATTCAGTTTGGCTATGTATATGGAATTAGTGCAATAGGGTGTCTAGGAATGTTCTGTCTCCTGAATCTAATGAGTATGACAGGTGTCTCATTCGGTTGTGTTGCAAGTGTCTTAGGATATTGTCTTCTTCCTATGATCATACTTTCAAGCTTTGCAGCTGTATTTTCCTTACAGTAAGTGATAGCAAAGACCATTACAATGCCATTTAATAATACCATATATTATTGTTCACCATAAAAAATGTACTCAAATGAATGTGAATTTATGTAGAATTTTAAAAAAGCTTTACTAGGTATAATTTCAAACTGAATTTGATTTCTGTGTTTTTTTTTTTAATTTATAGAGTGCTTATATTTTTGGTCCTATTTGCCTGGAAAGGAACACTTTTTCATCAAATAATAATATTGGAAAAAATATTTGAATTTTTACTCTTTTTTGCAATCTGTTATCTCGCTTATAAAGAAAACATTTTAAAACATATTTTGAAATTCTACCTCTCAATCCAAATAACAAAATGAAGCCAGTGAAAAAGTATGTGATACTGTAGCACTTTCAAAATGCAAGTGCCACAGACATTTTAGTTTAAAACTATGGAATAGTAGTTCTCAGCACAATATTTTGTGTTGGATCTTTTAGTCAGAAGTGGGCAGTCTGGTCCTGCAGATGTGTCCTTTCCCATTAACAAGGTTTCCTATCCCCTCTCATTTTCTTGTTTTCAAAATAATTTTAATCATAAGTAAATAAGAAACTGGAATGCTGTGGTACAAAGTACAATACAAGCTTCTATCATTATTTTTTTCTTTGCAACAATTCCCTAACATTTTACATTAGTCAGGGAAAATTATTTAGAGTGACTTTCTAAAATGGGTGAATTTCTGAAGCTTATTAAAAGGAAACTCTGTCTGATTTCACCAAATTCAGAACAAGATCATACTTATGCAATTTAACACTCTAAAGTGTTACATAAAGCTGAACAACATTCAGGTATATATACATTTCCTCATGTATACTGAGATCTATGTAAGTACTAGTTCTGTGGCAAAAAAATTATATTAACAATCTCTAGGTGGAGGCGTTTGAACATTTGAATTAGGAATGTTAACAACAGTTTTGGCCAGAAAATAATGTAGTGCTTAAAACCTGTATAATTGGATAACACACTTGGAATGTATCCAGTGTAAAACTGTTCTGATATATATAAAGTTATGTGATAGTATCAGCGCTTGATTCCTTTCCTGTTATTGTTGTTTTCAGAGGCATGATGGGAATTATTCTTGCTGCTGGAATTATTGGATGGTGTAGTTTTTCGGCCTCCAAGCTCTTCATTTCAGCCTTAGCAATGGAAAGACAACAACTTCTAGTAGCATATCCCTGTGCTTTATTATATGGAGTCTTCGCCCTCATTTCTGTGTTTTGAGCTGACTGTCTTAATTACTGGACTTAAATGAGCCGAACTGAAAGCTTTTACTTGGGATGCTTAAACTGGGACCAGAAATCAACTGTTGGGCTGCTGTCTTTAAAGATTAATATTTGAATTATTGTCTGGAGCAACAATAACAAAGTGTTCTTTTTGTGTTTCTTTTTATAGGACTCTTAAATACATTTTTACATTGACCTATAAAGGCTTCAGCTTTCAAACAAGCTAATTATGCTGTTTAAAATGTAAAACTCTTCAGTCCTATAACCTGCAAAACATTATTTTTTGAAAATTTTTGTAGTTCAGAAATTTTTATTGACAAAAGAAAGTGAAATCATTAACATGTTTTCCCACAGTAATATACAGCAACAAATTTAAATGACAAACATTTCCCATTTTATCAACTTAGCAAAGTAAGAACATTTCTTACAATAACATTTAATCTGAAAGCAAACACAAAATGGATCCCATATATAATTTTTCAGCTTTTTTATTATCCTCCAGTTCTTTTTCTTTACAATCTAAACATCTGTCCAGGCTCAAAGTTATTGTGTTTATTTCATTTTATATATACAGTACTTTGTAAATAGTTCTGTCATCTTATATACCTGTGGGAGAGTGCTTTTTATGCTAAACTTGAGAATTCCAGTAGTTCACCTAAAGATTGTTTTAGAAAATAGCTTTGACAAGTATCAGTATTGCAGTCTAGTATAGAACACACAGATTAAATTTTCTCAAAATGTTCTTACAACATTTTTCCTTTTAGTAATTTCCTTTACTGTAATATTGTCCACTACAAAATTGCTTAGGTATTTATTTGAATAAAAATTTATTCCCACTGAGCCAACATTGTTTAAATTATGATGTAGTACAATCCATCTTAAATTTAAGCAGCTGTAACAACTGCAGTATCATGGTCATCAAGAAATATTGTGTTTGGATTCCAGCCATAATGACAAAAACAAGATTTAATTGACATGGAAACCTTGTACACCATTAAAAAATGTGACAATGACTTATTTTAATGTTAGGGAATAACAAAGTGAAATGGCTAACATATGTTCTTTGCAAGCTTATTACAAGAGTAGATTTTTTAAAGTATCTCATTGAGCAATGCTGGTGAACAAATACAGCTTTCTTTGGTTCTTCCAACCGCCCCCATCCCCACCCCTGAGCTACTGCAGAGCTCTTCATACGCTGTTTTCACACATGAGTTGTTGACTTACCTATTAAATGCTTATAAGAAATTCAGACTTCTTTACACAGTCAGATTTCTGATATTTGTATTATAAACTACATTCCAGATTTTGGCATTTCCCCCCCTATGATATTTAATTCATATGATTTCACATGCAAATGAACTATCCTGCTGCCCCAATGGTTGGACCTTTCGTACCATGAGAAACAGCTTTGTTGGGCTTTGCTATATAAAAGCAATGTTGGCAAATAATGTGGTTTGTCTTTATTATTGCCTCTACATACTTAGAATTCATTTATAGCAGAACAACAGGATAGAGATATTTGTTATAGTGGTTAAGGCATCATGCTAGAAACCAGGAGACTTAATTTTAGTCCTACCTTAGGCACGAAAGCAAACTTGATGACTGTGGCCCAGTTATTCTCTGATCAGCTCGCCTCACAGGGTGGTTGTGGGGAAAATAGAAGTGTTAGGTATGTTCACTTGAACATTGGGTTGGACTAGAAGATGCCCCCTTCCCAAGATCCCTTCTGATTCTGTTAATCTGTTAAATAAAATGAACTCACACAGAGAATGAGGTTCTGCAACAATTATATAAAATCTACCCTCAATGTTGTGATAGGCTTTTGAACCAGTACTTTTCATGAATGGCCTTGGGACTCTTAAAAATGTAAGATGTTTCAAAAAATAACAGTGTTGCTTGAATTTAATAGTGCATTTTTTAAAATGGCAAAAGTTTTAGATTTAAATGGCATGCCTACTGAATCTTCTAGGATAATTCTATTTTGTATCATGTTGCTTTTGAAAAAAAAATGTAGCAGTGAGGACCTTAAAATCAGACAAATGGGATTCTAGCAAAAACTATATAGCGTATCTCCAAGATTGAATACTTTATAATTTTCAGTTCAATAGGCAATGCAATTATTTTTTAAAAGGAGGATTCCGATGGGATTTAAAATAATAGATGGATTAGCATAATTTGTCTGGGCAAATTAGTATGAAGCATTAGATTTCATATCAAAGCATATTGAAGTGCCTGCTTTTCTGAAGGAATTAGCACTGCTTCTGCAGAGAGAACTCTGGGTATTATTTTAGAGTTTTCAGATGTCAAGCATGCCAATAAGGTCAAGCAGGTAAAATGGACTTAATTTAGATTCATTTCTTTATGAAAGCTCAATAAAACTTTCCAAATGTAGCAATCACTCAATAAATGAAATGGTCTTAATAATGGGTGATTGGTTAGAGGTCAGGGGAAAAAATAATGAGTGGTTCTCATTACAAAACAAAACTAAAGACTATGATCTTTTTTCTTCAGGAATCCAAGTTTTCAGATTGACGCATATGTTTTTTAACTTACAAATTTGTGCAAAGCTGTGAAGGTGGGCTGTGCCCCTTGAAGCTGGTACATAAAATAGCCCCACCTCTGAATGGGAAGTGAATCAACCATACTTGTTTCAAAAACCAAAGTCACCCAACTTGAAGAAGCTTCACTAAGGACTGGAAGAGAAGGCTGAAAAGTCAAAAGCAGGCTGTGGGGTAATGTGAATTGCTTGGTTGAAGGGACGTATTCTTTGTCACTTTGCATAGATAATGCAGAATTAGGGATGAACAGATAAGTGACGAGAAGCTGCACTGTGAAGCTGTAGGAGATAAAAACAGGGTTGTAGGGAGAGAAGCTGGAAAATTGATCTGAGAAAAATAGGCAATTTATTCCTTATTATTTTGACTAATTTCTGAGGGACGGAAGCATCAAGACATCTGAAAAGACAACAAAGGCAAAATTTCTACAAGCCATATCTTCTCTACCTTCTTTGGGTATTGCACAGATATTGCACAGATAGGATGGGCATGTAGTATTTATCACCAATGACACCATCCATCAAAAGCTATGTAACTGCTGTGCAATATCCTGCCTTCTCCATCACACTTTATCTCTGAAAGCACCCCACCAAGAATATCACTCTTGAAATTATGGTGTTCTTATGGAGTCTTCTAGGAATGTACTGAGATTCAGAGTTTCAATTACAATCTTAATAAAACAAGAGTACAAAACACAGGTTTGCTCATAACTGGGGGAAATTCATAGGAACATGAGAAGCAAGCAAAATGCTGGTTGGAGTTTGAGGGCTGAGACTACAGTGAGTAATTTAATTCAATGTTTTGATTCAAACTTCAACAGAAACAAAATTCAACTCAACCCCTTTTGAAGTCAACAAAAAAAAGCCTATTATGATGCCATAAGCAATTATAGCAATTCCATGTGTCCTTAAGAACACAGGATCCCATTTCTGGAATATCAGTTGCGTTAGATCTCAGTCCTGAGGCTTTATAAGTGCTAGTTATTCATATCCATTGAAATGCATTGTATGTATACCTTACTTATCAAAATTATTCTGAAATGATTCTCCTCCCAATTTACAGGACATGAGCATCGGGCTACTTTGGAAACATTAATTTTCATCTTTGTGTTTCCCAAGAGGTGAAGTTTTTCTTTTTCTTTTCATTGGCATTTGGCTACAAACCTACCAACTAAGCTGGAATTTAGTAGGAATTAATTTTGAATAGGTATGTATAGGATGATATTTTTGATCTAAATATAATTGCAGAGTATTTTAAAATAATACATTGCATTCTGATGATTGTGATATATCTGCCCCAAAGTACAAAGTTATTCACTCTGTTTTAATGAAGAACATTATCTGCTCAGGGATCACAGTGTTCTGTGTTTGTGCAACTAAATTACAGTGATTACTTTTTCAAATAAGAACTAATCATATTCCAAACTGTTCTAATAGATATGAAAGCTCAAATTCTTTCCTGAGCACATCTGCTTCTCATCCTAAAATATTGTGCTATTATGAGATATATTAATCAGCTCAACTTTACCTTAACTTTGGACTTTTTAACAAATGAATTAAAGAATAATTTTGTGGCTAACTTGCATAATGGCTAATTTAAAGACCCTTATTTAGGATATATACACTGCTCAAAAAAATAAAGGGAACACAAAAATAAGACATCCTAGATCTGAATGAATGAAATATTCTTATTAAATACTTTGTTTATTACATAGTTGAATGTGCTGACAACAAAATCACACAAAAATTATCAATGGAAATCAAATTTAGCAACCCATGGAGATCTGGATTTGGAGTTACACTCAAAATTAAAGTGGAAAAAACCACTACGGGCTGATCCAACTTTGATGTAATGTCCTTAAAACAAGTCAACATGAGGCTCAGTAGCGTGTGTGGCCTCCAGTAGTGTGTGTGGCTGCCTGTATGACCTCCCTACAATGCCTGGGCATGCTCCTCATGAGGTGGCAGATGGTCTCCTGAGGGATCTCCTCCCACACCTGGACCCCCCCAACTCCTGGACAATCTGTGGTGCAATGTGGCATTGGTGGATGGAGCAAGACATGATGTCCCAGATGTGCTCAATTGGATTCAAGTCTGGGGAACGGGTGGGCCAGTCCATAGCATCAATGCCTTCGTCTTGCAGGAACTGCTGACACACTCCAGCCACATGAGGTCTAGCATTGTCGTGCATTAGGAGGAACCCAGGGCCAACCACACCAGCATATGGTCTCACAAGGGGTCTATGGATCTCATCTCGGTACCTAATGGCAGTCAGGCTACCTCTGGTGAGCACATGGAGAGCTGTGCGGCCCCCTAAAGAGTTGTCACCTCACACCATTACTGACCCACTGCCAAACCGGTCATGCTGGAGGATGTTGCAGGCAGGAGAACATTCTCCACAGTGTCTCCAGACCCTGTCACGTCTGTCACATGTGCTCAGTGTGAACCTGCTTTCATCTGTGAAGAGCACAGGGTGCCAGTGGCA